AATTGTATTAAAATAACCTATTCAAATAACCCTCAAAAGATAGATGTAAATAACTTTAATAAGTTATACTTCATATCAAACTTTAATTATTCGGTACTTTATAAACATGATAATTTATAAGGGACTATAAAATTAGTTAGATTAAAACTTGAATATTCATGTGTTTATATATATATATATGAAACGAAAACCTTTGCCAATTAGTCCTTGCCAAACCTTTTTACAACAATTGCAAGACTCTACTTCCTTGGCGTAGGCTCCAATTGATTTACATCCATAGATATATGGTCCCAACCATCGTTAACTCACACTCTCATACGGTCCCATCCCAATCTCAAACCACTCAATATTGACAACTCATCTCTGGCTACTTGTTTTCTTAGCATTCTATGAAACCGTACCAATTCCCACATTTCTAGCAGGGGCAGGCACGTTAGGTAGGGTACCCTATTGGTGATTTTTTCGGTTCATTAATTTTTAGTAATAATTTTTATTACTAAAGTTGAATCAAAGATTTTTTTTTTTTGGGGTAATTGGTTACCTGTTTACATATTTTATAATGAAATCATCTATCATTATCGTACTGATACTTGCTAAATCCCGTTTCATACAATTTTTTCATTTGTAAATTTGAAGTATCATGTAATTTTTTAAAAAAAAATTTCAATTTATAACAGAAATATTGTAAATATATTTTTTTTGAACTAAGGGAAATTAGGAAAAGGAAAACAAAAATATAAAAGAGTTGAATCCTGATAGCGTAACTAGAATATCTACACAATAACTATATAAGTTACGAGCTTTGAATGAAACAATTTTATGAATATGTTTAGTTTAAAGAAAAGTAAAGAAAGGGTGAATTGTTTGACAATCAAATTAAAATATTTAAAAATATGTTATTTTAATTAATTAAAAGACATATCTTTTTTTCTTATTTCTCCTTGAACCAAATTAACATATTTAATGCCTTGGCTTTCAAATGCACCAAAAACAAAGAAAGGAAACACAGAACCATGATTGTAGTGGCAGCCATGGTAAAGGACGGTGAGGACTTGTCCCGCCATCGTTGTACCAAGATTAGATCGGTAATTACTCGTTATGACTAAGAATTTTCTTTGCTTATCATTCTGTTATGTTATTTTTTTAACAAATTAAAATTATTTATATATTAATTAAAAAAATTATGAGATTTAAGCAGATGATTTACATGAGATAAATGATGTTAATTTAAATTTTATACCATTGGATCAAAATGAACTGTTCATCATTCCATCATGCTATTGGTATATCACGTGCCGCAACAATACATTATTGTAATGGTATGTATGGTATGTATGGTATGTATGGTATGATGATATTCATTTTTAATAACTAAAAAAAGTAAAAAATTAAAATTTGTTAATATTAAAATGTCAAAATATTAAAGTACAACTATAATAATATAACTTTTAATTAAATCTTATTTATGATTTGAGTGAGAATAAAACATTTTCATATTCTTAATATCAAAATGACTTTAATACCAAGGGCATCTTATTTTTCTGTTTTTTGAAAATTTAAAAACACTAGAATTATCAACCAGTCTATATTTTCCCAGGACAAAGACGATGATTATAAAACATAAGGGCAGCAGCTTCCTACCTAATCAGGAAAAGCCAGAAAATGTAGTCCATAGATCGTTACCCTTACTTATAGGTTTCTGTTTTTATTATTACCATTAGGTTGCTTGTTTTATAGACAGTGTGTGCTATTTGTGAAATGAAAGGATTCTTATTATGTCAGCTCAGAAAATTGATGTAATGAGGCAGAGGGGAATTATTACAATAAAATAATTCAGAAAAATGGGGACCAGATTTGAAGCCTAAAGGTGGTAGAAACTTAAAATGCTTTCTCCTTTTTGATGTGGGGGAGGAAGGTGAGGTGAGAAAGCACATGGGTATTCATAGCATCTTGGGTTGTTTAGGGCTATCTATTTGTGATTTGGGATACAAAAATTACTTTCTTTTCTTTTTTTCTTTCAGTAGTTCTGCCCTCTTACTCAGACTTGGTCCATACGAGGAGATTGGCTGTGTGCCTAAAGAAGAACCAACCCAAGCAAAAGCCGAACTTTTTGTTTATTTAATTAGCGTACTTGTCACATCTCCCACCGACTGACTTGATCTTAATGCGATTACAATCATAGAATTGTTCGGTCTAATTATAATTTTATTTTTATTTTAAAAGAAAATTCTCTTACCATTAATACTTTTTTTTAAAAAAAAATTATAAATTGAAAGGGAAAGGATTCAAATCTCAACTTTCAAATTGAAAAATATACTTATGATTGTTGGATCATGAGATTTTCAAAGCTCATAGTTGATTTATTCTTAACATTAAAGATTTTACTTTTTTTTATTAATAATTAAATGAAGAGATTAGTGCTTGTATATCTTACTTTTAAAAAATTAAGAAGAAAAATGATAAAAATCAGTTTAATGCATACTTTAAAAATAGGTAATTTAGTATTTTTTAATAAAAATTTATTAAAACGATAAAACGATATAATCTTAGATGATTTTTCTCTTAATTTTTAAAAAATAAAGCCAATAGGCACTATTTCTTTAAATGAAATACAGCATGCAGACTTAAGAGAATGAATTCTACTTTTCTAAATTAAAACTCAGTCCTAGCTACTTAAATTCAAGGACTAAGTTTGATGTATCCACGCTTTTTCATTAATTTAAAGTTACGGAAGAGTAAAGTAGGGGGTGCCAAAATCATGTCCTGTTTTAAGATATATATATATATATATATATAAATGAAAATCACGATATTTTAGTGTGAAGACATTCATCACAATAGTTAAATAAGTAAGTATTTGATTGAAACTTATAAAATTAACAGTTGTAATAGATATTTTGAGTGTCAGGTTATCTCGATTTTCTATAACCCTACATATATATATTACTTTCTAAACAAAATTATAATACCAACTACTTGTATGTATCTAAATAGAAAAAAATTGATTTTTTTAAAATAAAATTTTAAGTTTAAATTTTATAAATAAAAAGATAAATATTGAAAGAAATTTTCTTTTATAAGGTTTGATGTAACTTTAAATTAATTAAAATTTAATATAATTTTTAAATAGTAAGGGTTTAGGAAAAAAAATTATAGCACATGCATATGTGTACAAAAATTTTTACCCAGATGGACTTCAACAAAATGCAATTTTTCTTAACTTAGGATGGGCTTATACCTAATTCTTTCTGATGTACATCCCCACTAAGTAGAGTTACTACTCAGTTTTGTTGACTTGGCCATATAATAACATATCTAATATGATACTTACCACATTAAGCTCTCCACAATCCAACTTCATCCATCCATTTGCTATGTCCAGCTTCATTAATTTGGCTGTTGGGCATTGTGTGCATAATAAAGTAGGTGCCTATGAAATTTAAAGCATTACTGCCCTTAAATTAAGGACCACGATTCAAGACTTTTCTAAACACGTAGGACATTTAGAATATGACAGGATTGGAGGGTACATTATGAGTTAATGGAGTGATGTCCCTCTCGTTAAGGACTATATCATGCGTAACGAGTGGTGGGTGCTCAAATTATTGGCCTTCTTTTGGAAACTTTCCTTTAATAGAATCCGTGATACATAAACCACCTAGACGTAAATGGAATGCACACACCCAACCCAATAATTCAAGATGTTGGACAATTAATTGGTAAATGGAGCTTCATCCACTTCTTTATAAAATAAATTAACAAAATCAGAGGTTTAAATTTATCTGTAAATGGTTAACGACCTAAATAATTCAATGATAATTTTCTTTTGCTGGAAATAAGAGGTTCTAAGTTCAAGTCGTATAACATGTGAGTAGAATAAGATAAAGGATGAGAGCGGGTTGCCTCTCATTGTGCGACTAATATAATAAAAAAAATTATTTGTAAATAAATATCATTTTATAAATTAGATTTAAAATTTAATTTATGGGTTGAGCACTCAAGGAAGTCATGTAAGACTACAGTATTAAGATTATTTAAAAATAAATTAATTTTAAAATACTTGAAATATAATTTATGAATACCTTAATTATAAATATCAAAAATAAAAAAAAATTAATAAAAGAAGAGTGCATCGTTGAACCACCACTCACTTTTTTTTTTTAACAGGTGTAATGATTATGAAGTTAGTATGAGTAAGTTGTTAGCAATTGGGATTTTTAGAATGGTAAGCATTACACCCCTCAAATGAAGCGTGCAGCTATTAGGTCGTAAGTTGGTGGAGTTCACGGCGGTGGCACCACTCACTTATTGAGTGTCACTTTAATTGATTTTTTTTTTAAAAAAAAATTCAATGGCCAAGTGTTAGTGCATTTGACAATTTACTGAGTGCCCCTAACATTTTTCTTTAAAAAAAAAAAAAAAGATTTTCAGTTTTGTTTGCCTTTTCAACTGTTTCAGACACAAAATTACCAATTGACCCCCTTTCTTTTCATTTTCTTTGACCTTCGTAAATAATAAATATGATAATTTTAAATTCGGACAAGCTGAAAAACCTGAATCCAAATAAATGAAAAAAATAGCAAATCCGAGCTGAAAAAATCTCTTCCCTAAAAGAAAACTGAAATGGAGGCAATTAAAAATCTTCAAGGTGTTAAGGTTAGTAGCCGACTTTTGAGGTGACTACACAAAACTAATGACAGATTGATTGTAATTGTTGTGTAGAGTCTATAGATTTTTGGTAAAGATTTTGGGGTTCATTTCTATAGATAGGTTGCAGATTTTTAGCTTGGCCTTTAAATTCTAATTTTTGATTGGTTCACACCCATGTTTTCCATATTTAACTCACTGAGATTCTTGTTTCTGGTCAATATCATACAACTCCGTTCATTATCTTGGACAAGACTTCTAACAGAAGTTATGCCATGTAATAACGTCCTAGTAACAATCGAAATGAAATCTATGCTAAACAAAATGAAAAGGAATTAAATCCCAAAAGAATAACCAATCACTGAAACTAAAAGAAACTAAATGTTTTTTTTTTTTTTTCTAATCTTGAATTATATAATAATAAGTAGTTTTTTTTTATACTTTAACTCACCTCTTCATCTGTCTGTTATATGATTTGAATTCAAAATTTTTTATTTTAATTAAGAAAAATTAGCATTGAATTATTTAAATTGTTAACGAATGAAACTAAACGTTGAGTTCTCAAACTTGCCTTTGATCCGAGAGATAGATTTTGTCTGAATGAGCTAGGATACGGTGTCTTCGTCCCAGGAAGCATCATTAAAAACAATTCAGTTCAGTTCCTTGTAAGCCAAATGGACTTATGTTGTGGTCAAGAGGGTAGGAGACCAGTGTTCCAAAGAGCCAGGTCCAAACCCAAGTTGGATAAGGAGATGAGCTGCAGAATAAGGGCTGACGAAGAGAAGCTCCACCATTTACATATTGGCATCCAAAGTCTATGCAACTTGACGCACGATGCAAAAACATGATTTACTTCCTCTTTGCTAACTCGACATTTAAAACGGCCATTATTGACATTATCTATTTATTTAGTACCACATCTTTAATAAAGAATTGTAATTATAATAATAAAATAAAACTAGGTTCTAGAGATAAGAAAAGTAGGCTTTTGTTATTTGACTAATTCATTGAGAAAGCATGTAATGATGTATTCCCAACAGCATCAAACAGGTGGGATGCAGATTGACATGTCCCGCTAAATGAAAAAAACCAATTATATCACTGCATTGTCAAAAAATTATAATCAATAACGCATCCAGCCAAATAAATAAAAAGGACCCAACAATAAAACCTATTGTCTGTTGTCAAAGAAATATTATCAACAAACAGTATTCCTAAATCATTTTCATTTATCATTTTGTAAATGCAAAAGGAAATCATTGGTTTTGGAGATTAAGTAACAAATCATTTTCGACCTGTTAATAGCGTCAGGGCAAACAGAAGATATTGAATGAACATATACTAAAACATAACATCACCTTAAAGAACTTCTGAAGCTTACAAATTGCATCTTCCCCTGGTTCTCTGGTGTTTGGAGATTTCCTCTCACTAAGAAATAAACATATATTGAATACGATGGGTTGAAGAGACCATAGCATCAAACAACAACAAATGAAGATCTAGAGAATAGAGAATTTTAAGAAGCATGCAAATTGATTAAATCCCCAACAAAAAGCAGAATTTTTAGTTGCAGAATCTAGGCTGCCAGATATTTCAAAACCATAATCCACGGAGAACTTCAGAATTTGGCCTAGTCACAGCACAAATTTATTGCCAAACAAGAAACTTATTAAGTACTTGAATGTAACAGACCACAGTTGAGCCTATCCCAGACACTCAAGAAACAAGGTTGTCGTTCAGCGACAAGGAGGCTAAACGATCTCTTGGGGAATTGGCTTGCGGCTGCTGAGAAACATTCCTTAGAACTTCCATGGCTTCTGCGACTTTTGCTTTCAAGGCTTCTGGTGACTCTAGCAAGTGCAAAACCTCAGGCTGGTCCATCTCAAGAAGCATCCCAGTTACCTTAGCTGCATTTTCATGCTCCAACTGCTCCACAAGTGGGTACAGATGTTCCCCAAGAAGCTGGAAGAAAAAAGTTCCAACAGTTAAAATGAGCGTTGTTTTAGGTCAACACAGTTACTGCTCTGGAACACATCCAAGCTTAAAATTAGGTAGAAGTACTGTTAATACATGAAACTTACCGTCCTCTGTTGATCAGGAGGTGCATTAGCAAGGGCTGTAGCAAGAGCACCAGTAGTCATAGGCTGTGAAAATGCAGCATCTCTGAATTGCATTCCACCCATGTCATATGGACCAGGTAGCACACCTCCAGGAAGACCACCGATGGCAACATCATGGACATTGCGCCCTGGAGGATAACGGTAGACACGCCCTCTTGGAAGCATCTGCAGTTGAACATCAAGATAGAATGCTTAGGGCAAAGATGCAGTGAAATTACAATGAGTATGCTAAAATATAACAGTGAAATGATAACAAATAACCAACACCAAGAACATCTAGACATTGGATGGCCACCAACCTGTGGCTGCATCATAGGAAGTGGTTGCTGTGTCTGCTGCACAGGCCCAGCTCCAGACCGTCTGCCACCTGGGCGCTGGCTCTGCTGACCTGGCTGAACCATAGGCATGAAGAAATTTGGCCTCATACCAGGAACTAGTTGCTGCTGATATCCAAATCCAGGCTGACATGGACCAAAAAAAAGGGGATTGATTGAGAGTGACAAAATCTCAACTGTTAAGAGGCAACAATAGTAGACAGAGCTCTAGAATGGTGCATATAACCTAAGTACTTCAAACCTCCTAAAATGGAATCCATAGAGGAAAAACATAAAGGAAAAGGGAAAACCTAATGTATAAATGAGCTACCAAAATAAAAAATGAATCCTTTCATGTCATCACCAAAAGTTTGACAAAGAAACAAAATAAAATTGGTATTGGGAATATATTGGGCTTCTAAACCCCAGCAACAAGCAATGTATTTCAGCATTGCACATGTTTTATTATCACACTACAGATACACCAGAAATTTATTGATGAAAGTCCCTTCAGCTGGAGGCTGACTTGAAGTTAGTCCTCATGAAGAAGAAGAGTGAAATAGCCAAAGATTCTTGAATAAATACCAACCAAATAACATAAATATCCAACTTGTCCACACACAGAAATTAGGATTCAAGTCATATAGGAGGTGCACAATAACACTGTCATATCAACAAAGCTTTTTAAAATTAGTAAAAAAAAGTAAAACCTGGGGAGGGATTATGGCAGGAGGGCCTTGACCATAAAATATTTGCTGTCCAAGACCTGGAGCACCAGGGGGATAAATGGGCATTCGAGGGGCAACTGCAGCTGCCATTGCAGCAGGACGCATTTGGGAAAACTGTGCCTGGACAGAAATTAAATCAAAATATAAATTACACGTTGCTATATCCTCCCATAAAAACGTTGCCTAAGCTTGTTCTTACTCAATATCCATAGGACACCATTTAAAGTCGTACTCAACAAAAGTAACCAAAATAACTGAGTCCTAATCTTAAGTAACCGAAATATGCGAGCACACTGTTAGCATTATTCCAGGGTCCAATAAAAGCCTATACAACCCTACAGATCCAAAATATAATAGATGTACTAATAGTATTACCTGCAACCTGGCTCTTCTTTCTTCTTTCCTTTGTGCTAGTGCAACATAAAGCGGTTTGCTAACAATCATTTTACCATTCATCTCCGCAAGCTAATACAAAAGAGCAAAAGTAAGCAACTCAGAGAAAGAGAAACAATCTGTAGGCTGATTTCAAGAAAAGGGTGCAAGAAAATCATCTTACTGCTCGAGATGCTTCTTCAGAAGTTGAAAAGGCAATGAATCCAGAGCCTTTACTTATGCCATTAGGATCACACATAACCTGTTCAAATGTAAAAGTGAGGGAGAGGGAGTAAAGATCAACAAGCTTTACACTGCCAGCAAAAACCATTGTTTACAAGAATGGGATGATGTTCAAACCTTGCATGATGTAATGGTACCAAATTCCAAGAACAACTCCCTCAGCTTATCATCATCAATACTATCATCTAGGTTTTTAACATATAAATTCAGTCCTTCACTTTTATCTGCCGTCTCCTTTAAAATTTGCTCAAACCGCCCTTTCAATTCAAGCTCTCTTTCAGATTTCTTCTGTGCTTTCCCAACATACCATTCTTTATCATCAAACTTCTTTCCATTGAGAGCCTCAACGGATTGGGCTGCATCATCTGGGTTCTCAAAGTTGACAAATCCAAAACATTTTGACTTTCCATCTCCATCTCTCATAACTACAGCACTAGTAATAGGTCCATATTCACCAAAAATTTTCTTCAAGTCCTCATCAGTTACAGATTCTGACAGATTCTTCACATAAACATTGTTAAACTTCACCTTATCTCCAGCAGACTCTCTTTCCTGCTTACGGAGGAAGGGTCCAACATAAACTTGTTTGTCATTCAGTAGCATACCATTCAGCTTATCAATTGCATTTTTAGCAGACTCCTCGTTATCAAATTGCACAAACCCATATCCTTTAGATTGACCAAAAGAATCAGTAGCTATCTTGCAAGATAAAATACTCCCGAATGTAGAAAATGTGTCATGAAGAGCTTTATTATCTATTGCCTTGTCCAGATTCTGCCATGACAGAGAGCGGAGCCAAACTTAGAATCAACAAGACATGATAAGTGAGAATATTACGATACTTTCAGACTCATTAAAGACACTGAAGAATGCAAGTACCTTGATAAATATATTTCCAGCACCACTTTTGCGGACAGTAGGATCACGGTGAGAATACATGATCCTAATTGGCTTTCCATTGATAGGACTAAAATTCAGTTCATCCAACGCCCGTGCCGCTGTTATAAGCAAGAAAGCATACATCATAAATATCAACCAATATGGACACAAGTGGTGCACTATCATAAAATGTACAACATACATCTAGCAACAGGAACATTCCTATAAGGTAAACAGCAGCAATGAAATATCAACATGCTGAGATTTGGTTTCTCCAATATTCCTACAAACTTGAACATGTCCAAATTTTTTTATTATAAATAGCACTTATCCAATTGCCACAGGTAAAAAAGAGACACCTAAATTTTCAACAAAGAAATTACCAGGAATCAAAGAATGCTGCAGAATCCAGAATGAACCATGAACTGGACATTTCCAAGTCAAAGATTTTGACAATAGGCATCGGAAGAACTAACTGAACAATATTAGCAACACCTTACTAACAAGGAGGTTGGAAAACTAAGAAAAAAGAAAACTAGATTTAAACACGTGGAAAAATGAACGGAAAAAAATTGTTCCTTTAAAAAACGCATGAACAGAATAATGGGGAAAATGAGCACCAAAGCTATTAGATTTATCATCATGCCCTAAGTAACTTATTAAATTGTACTCTTTTCCTTACATTCCATCCCATAGTTAGGAAAAAGATAATATACTGGTGGCATCTCATTTTTTCTTTTTCCATTTTATCTTCTGCCATCCTCATAAATTTGAAAGTTGTATTTACAGATTTGGGTAGAGAACCCTCTTAAAGTTATCTCTAACATTTGTCTCCCATTCATTATTGCTACTACTATGGGGATGGTGATGTACAGTTTCCATGCATTCTTTCCTATATTAATGGCTCTTCTCTATGACCATTCACAATGCAAACACAAGAAACATGCAATTCAAATGTTTCGCATTGAAAAAGTCCTAATTTCCTGCAAGCCAAAACGAGATACTTGCTAATCTTTCAAATTAGTTTTCTTTTCTAATTGGCAAATTTGTTTGTGAAATCAAATTTGTCATGTAGCATCTCAAAACAGCCGGGACAAAGACTTTTCGGTTCATATACAACTCCTTAATCTCTTATCCCTTTCCCCTCTTAGTTGACACTCATATGCACTGCAAGCATCATTGTTCACCGATCCATACCCATAAAATCAGAGTACACAAGAATTGCAGGGTTGTTTTCCCAACAAGTAATTTCCAACATATCAAAATCATTCTACCAAACACTAAAAAGCTATAATTCCAACAAAAAAACCCAATCAGTAGCTAAAATAACCCATTTCCCTCCCACATTACATTGCATGCAATAAAACAAGATTTATTACATACAAATCCAAATTAAAAAAACCCACAACTAAAAATCATCTCATTCGAGCGAACATCGCCATCTAAACTCATCGCATCACATTAATCACGTATTATACATAAAAATCAAAAGAAAAAAGAGAGAGCGAGCGCTAACCTTCATTGTCGTTGCCGTAATTGACGTAACCATAGCCAAGAGACCGACGAGTGGCCAAGTCCCTGCAGACCCGAACGGACACGACTTGACCGACCCGGCTAAACAAATCGTAAAGCTGAGAATCGGTCACATTGTGCTCAAGATCTCCGACATAGAGCGAAGTCGGCACGAACTGATTCACATTCCCGCCATTGCTAGCAACGCCATTATCGGCCGGAGACACCGGACCCTGTGGCTGCACCTGAATCTGTGCCATTTCCAAAAACAGTGAAACAACACAGAAAAAAAGGAACAAAATAAACCCTAAATTACTGATGAAATCCGAAACGATACTAAGATAAAGGAGAGGATAGATATGGATTTAGGGTTCTTGTTTTCTGATTTTTGGGATTTTTTTTGATATTTTTGATAAAAGCGGAATAGCTTGGAAGGGGGCAGCAGCACGAGCGGCACCGCAGCGGTTGGGTAAGACAATGGCGGGTTTTATACTGTGCAGGAGAATAGGTTTTTCTGACAACCCACTTACCCTAGTTTTTTAATTTTCTGATTGATTTAATTTCTGCCGTTGATGGGCTTTGAAGTGGGTCCCCTACGTGATTTAGTTGCATCAGAGATACTGACGCTCATTTAGCATCCAGTGCATCACGCCGCATGTAATAAATAAAGTTAGGGCTGGATTTGTATTCTTACTGTTTTATTTATTTATTTATGATTTTTATTTATTTCTTTCATTTTTTCACACCAAATTTTTAATGTAATAATATAATCCAGATCTACCTTAATACGCAAGTTAGGATTTAAATTTAAGAAAAAAAAATAATTTTAAAGTGTATAAAAATCAATTGTAAGACATCTTAATTAAAAAATATTTATTATTTTATAATAAAAAATTAACTATATAATTTAAATTATATAATATTTTAAAAAAAATTTTAAAAAATTTTATTTTATAATTCAAGTTGTATTAAAAATACCAATTTAAAAACCCAAAAAGTTTAATACGCAAAAAGGCAGAGATGATGTAACAGCGTGGAAACGTCGGACGGTGTCAAAGAATCTTAATAACCAACATGTTATACGTCGGCAAATCCAATGAACAGTTAGAAGTTTGAAATACTCTAATCTAAGAACGTGAGTCATGTGGAATTTGTAAATTTTCAATGTCTGAATCGGAGAAGATAGATTTAAGTTTTTCTTTTCTTTTCTTTTCTTTTTGGGCCTTCGATTTTATGTTCAATTAATGAGAACACCTAACTCACTGTTTACATGCAAGTTGTTAGATACATACAAGACGATTGGTGGGGATATATATTTATTTATTTATTTATTTGTGTGTGTGTCTGACCTAGCTAGCCCCACCCTTTGTCCGATAATCTTTCATCGTTTTGTTTCACAGTTCACAGCAATAATTAAGATGGTGTCCTTAAACTGTGGAAGATCCATGGGTCCCTGGTTTGCTGGCTACATTTTTTCCAACAATGAATGCTATCCATCAGGTCCGGCGTTTTAGCATCGATCACTTCTGTTGTTGGTTTTTTTTT